AAATAGCTATCAGTATCCAGCCTGATTGAGGTTAAAGTAGATGTTGAAAAATAAATAAATTCTGTAGTTTATTTGTATCAAGGAGATTTTTGTGTTGGGTAAAATAGGTTGATATAAAAAATCAAAGTAAAAAATATTACCAGCCCTCAGGGATAACGAAATAAAGTCTAAAGTACTAGCACTTGGGAATACTTTAGGTTGTTTTATTTTAAATAAATATATATATAAATAAGTTATATAATTAATAAATCGAATAAATAGATTAAATCAAATAAATAAATATATGAATTGCTTTGCAAACATGGTCTATACAATGTTAATTTGGTACATTTCCTCTCAAATTCCCCATAAGAGTTTATAATGTTGAGCAAGTTCTGTTGCACACATACCTTCGGGTCTGTAGAAATACTCTAACTATTTCCTCTGTATAGTTGTCATGCTCAGATCTTTTTTGCTATTTCTCGAATATATTTAACTCTATTAATAAGATTCTCTATTCGTAATTCATATCAATAAATAGCTAACCTTGTGTAAATATCACTTTCAACTTCCGGTTTTTGTTTAAGCTCCATATACTCTTTGAAACATATATCACAATGTCTATTTCCAGTATAATTTGTATGCCAATGTTCCTCCATCTTATAATTATGATATAATTCATATCCTACTCTTTTATTAACATAAACCAACTGATCACAGCTATAACATATAGCAATATTCACTTTAACAGCTATACGATAACTGAATCCTTCTGTAGATTCCATCTTTCTGGCAATAAGATATCACTTATTGTAATCAGTCAATTTATTGTTATTTCTATAATTTACTAATTGATTCCAGATTCGGTTCTTCCAATTAGATGGTGTTTCCCCATCACGAATTACTGGAAATTGGCAGTTATCCCTCCACTTGATATCATTTAAAACTGGACAATTATCTGTATAGACCATATTTAATAATTAAGTAATTTAATGTATTATAGTGTTTTTAGAGATTATGTGATTTATATCATATTTAGGGATTTAGACCTATTTGATTTAATAACTATATACTAATGAATATCGCAATTCATTTTTTGTGCGAATTGAGTTATTAGATAAGTTTTGTATATTCGCCATATTTGTGAGTGAAATATATGATAAACCTATTGTGGGTATATTAGGAGATATGACAATCTGAGATATTTTTTCTCATGTGAATAAAAATCATGTATGCGTGACGAATTGTTACGCTGATCACTTTTGCCAAAAATAATAATAACCAGCGATACAAAAGACAACTCAGTATACAATAATTAAAATGTCAGACACATAGTAGTACTTTCATTATTAGTGTTATCCGTTATGCATAGTTAGATTAATAATCAGTATTATCGCTACATGAAAAATGTAGTCATAAGAATGTTAATATTATCGTTGCATGAAAAATGAAGTCATTAAGATAGAATCGTATTGGTAATTAGTAATAGGGGCAGGTTAGCATAGTAAATAAAAGAGGGAATGGGAAATGTATCTCTTACCTTAGTCTGTTCAATAAACTATCCAACCTTGTCTTCTTGCTGCTGCTTCGTACACTCCCTGATCTGTGCCCCAGTATCTTGAGAGTTGTTACGGAGGTTAGAATTCAACTTCCATCGGTTAGCCAGAGCTTGCTTCGAAAAACGAAAGAGCAGGCCCAAAAGATTTATGATTTATTTAATGAGATTGGGGTCAATAAGATCAAGCGAATTCAGAGCTTTACAGCAGTAACCTCATTATTAACTAACCCTTGAGCCGTATGTTTAGGATTGTTTTTTGTAGTGATTGAACCATTCCTCGAGTGCTTTTCCAAAATAGTGAAGAATGGTTTTGTGAATCGTTTCTTTACTAATTTCTTCAGCATGCGTAGATATCAGAATTGTCTATCACAGAATTGTATATCTCGGACCTGGCGATCCAAAATGATGTATATGTGATAGCAAAGATACGAATCCCCAACTTAAAACATATATATATATGAGCGAAATCATGCCTTCATTTTATTCATATCAGAAGAAAAAGAAAAAATGGTAGGTATATGATATAGTAAAACTCTTCCACATATTTCATACTTGGTCTTTACTAATAATGTATTACTTAGGATTATGATCCTCTCGTGGATTCGGGAAACAAGGACAAACAATTTAATATCGAGTTTCTTGTTATCCCTATCCATGAATTTTTTGGATTTCCAACCAACTATCTTAGGTATGGTCTTGTTATATTCGAAAAAAGAATCTATCGATTATGTAAAAGCGAAAATTCAGTGGCACTTTCTAGAAGAGTTTAAAAATGTTTCTTTTAATATTCGAGTATCCGATCCCAAGGCCAAAACATATAAAGACATAAAATTGCAAGATAAAGTTAGTGATTATTTTGATAAAAAGCCTGTAACAGGTCATAGTAGAATCCATTAGTTAGGTTTTTATATTTACAATATCATCAGCATGTATTAAAAACTTTGTACTATGTGGCTATGACCATTTAGGCCCGATTGTTTTATTAATACAATAAAAAATACCAAAAAATTTTTGATATATCTAGTAATAAAATCGATTGTGTAATACAGATATTCGATCAGGCACGTAAGTGCCATTACTTCGTAATACATATCACATGTTATACCAAAGAAGAAAATCGAAGAAGTCTATAAAATCAAGAGCAACAGAAGATTGGGTGATGATCCTTTGGATCGAGTCTTTGACTCTCCTGGTTCATACTAATTAATTTGTGAATGAATTGATCACCAAACCCGAAATTAGTTTCATACTTATTTGATTTTTATATATTACGCTATATGTTACAGAAAATCAGAGACTCGACCCTTTGGATCATTGTTTAATGTGTGTATATTAATAAATTTTTAATGTAATTCTAACCACTTATCCCCCTTTCGATTTTTATTACATATGAAATTTTTTATTTTGGATCACCTGGTCTGAGATGTGATAAAAATCATACTTCTTTAGGATGCTATACCGTGATTATCTGACAATTAATTTGGTTGTGTCAGCTAATGATACTAATCACTGTTGAGTCGCGGTTGAGTTGCAGTATTTTTTTTTCTATATAATTTTATGAAAAACAGGTGTATCGCGGTTGAGTCATGTTAGAATCTTAGTGATGTGGACCAATGATCAATTGCACTTATTAATTGCTAAAAGAAGAAATAGAAATGCCGAGTATCATGATATTCCTGGAAGTAGTAGGGTGAGTTTTTGGAATAATATTGCGAATATAATTAATGAGAGATTTAGTACTAACTATACAGGATATCAATGCAAGAGTAAATTTCAAATCTTGTAAGGGATCACACTGTAAGTATTTTTACCGAAGGCACTTATTGATGGATTGAACCATAATTAGGTTATAACCTAACAATTTTCTTGATCCTCTTTAGTTGATGTACCAATATATGGTAGGAAATTGTGCAGGGCGTAGAACCAGAACCGGAGTACGATACTTTGAGGAATTCTGTTCACGTTTTTGGGAAAGACCAGGTAAGGTTCTACATTAATCTTGAACATTCATCTGCCTTTGCTGTAGGTGTCTTTGAAATAGAAACAAATTATTGTTAATTATGTATAAAAAAATCTAGAAACATAGTTTGATCAGATACATAATATAAACACTTCCTCAAGAAGAAGAAGAGAAAAAAGACGGCAAAACCGCACTCCACCACCAACCTACGAAGAAGTTTTATCAATGCTAAATATAAGTCACCGTGAATCTCCTGCCGGTCAAAGAGATCGATCTGCATCCCTGGCCCAGAGAATTCCTACCAAAAGAGACGAAACTACTAATCGAGATAATATAAATAATGTAAATGATGCGGATGGGAATTCAGGCCATAATACTAATGATGTAGGTAGAAATTTAGATAATGCGACATACTCATCTTTATCTAATTTGGTAAATACTACCTCAACCCCTAATATATCTGCATCACAAAACGACAGTGATATTAGTATGCCCGATATAGAAGGTAGCCAACCACCTTCCTGTATGGAAAATATAAATGAAGAGGATTAGCTTCATATTTGTTTTTAGGGGTGGCTTCCCTAAACCATAAATATTTCTACATCCTATGATAATTGTATAATGGCAATAAATAATTCAAATTTTGATCTATTAGATGATTTGGTCGTGTATAAAACATCGCGTAGATGTTCACCCAACATTCGATTTTACGTATTGTGGTTTCGGATTCGCTATAAAAATAAATATTCAAAAGAAATACCTGCAAACAAATATGTGCATTATTTTAGACACAAACCATCCTCATACTATGAGACATAACTATATTAAAAAAATAATCAGTATAAATTATAGTATGTATGGTACTTCAGTATTTATGTGTTACTGTGGAATTTTTTTTTATTACTGTTATAGCATTAAAGATATCGCATAAAAAATAAAGTTCATGATACAAGTAACTTGAATGGTTTGTACCACATTTCTGCAGAATCTTAGTGTTGTGGTCTAAATTTTATGCGGTGTCACTCTCCTGCAGAATCATTTCTCACGGTCGATTTTTGTTAACAGCTACTAAACGAATAACAACTAAAAGCTTTATTATACATGATCTTATGATAAGAAAAGAGATGAATGGGGCTTAAAAGGGCTATAAGAGGGAAAAGTACAACGTTATTTATTAGTAGTTTTATCCAAATTCATATGTTACAGGGACTTCAAATCTCTGCAATCTCTGAGATCGTTAACTTTTTTTTCATCACAGGAGAGATCGTTGATTATAAGGGGGTTAATTTTACCAGAAAAAAAAACGAAATAGATTCAGCATCTGGAACTTATAACCGAGCGGAATTGCTTTGTTAAGTGTGATCTGGTAGTGCTAGAGTAACACAATTACTAATCATGTAACTTTTTTTTTCTGGCAAGTTCTCAGATCTAATGAATGCTAAGTATAAAAATAAGCGATTTTTTGTTTCTTGTTGGGTGGGTTATAATATTTTTTGCTTTTTTTACTTAATTCACTTGTAATTTATTTCTAACATATGTATTTGTTTTATATGGAGGGTTTCGACTTACAATTGTTTTCTAGGATGACTACTAGGGTGAAACCTTATTCATTATGATTTTTTATTTTTAAGAACGCAAAATAAGCAGTACTAATAATTCTAACAATCCAACACCGTCTAACCCAGCACCGTCCAACCCAGCACCACCTAATTCAACACC